GACTAAGCAAGCCAGAGCGAAAGCTGTTCATCTCTCAATGCCTCTGGCCACCCCCCATAAAAGCATTATGTAATGTACTACTAATTCCAGACACCCAAGATATATAAGGAGCTAAAGAGACTTTGGTTTGAGACTCTAGTTGCTTTAAAAAGCCTTTAAAAAGTAATCTGTTAGCTTTAATAAGTAATCTGTTAGCTTTAATTTATCCAAAGGTCTTTGGTTTTTTGTTTTGTAGTATTTCTTTTGTTTGGGGTTTTTGTTTTGTTTGGGCTTTTTGATTTTTGTTTTTAGACAATAAAGTGGCTTATGCCACTTTCCCCCTCTCATGTTTCTCTACTATAAAAATAAAGACTTTTAAAGGATGATTCAGTGATAATAAGCTTAGGTGTTTACTGGCTGCTCTTAGATTTTTTTTTTTAAGGGCTTTTTCTTGGAGTGTTCAAAAGCAATCATTCAATAGAAAATCCTACATATTGTCAACCTACATATTTTTTACTATCTTTCTCATTTAATAACACCATGATGGTTTGCAAGCCTTCAGTATAACCATAACAGATTGCTTGCAAGTCAATCAAGCACAGCCTCCGTATTACATCAAGAAGAGTTCTCCGGGGGCCGGGGAGATGGCTCAGTGGAATAAGTGCTTCCCTGGCAAGCGCAAGGGCCTGAGTTCAATCCCTGGTTCCGCCAAAAAAAGAAAAAAAAGAGTTCTCCACACATAAGAAGTAGAATAATGCCAACACCACCACCACCGCCACCTGCCTGCACTCAGCCACTCAACCTAGAAAGCTCCTGCAGACACAGTCCTGGACAGTAATGTCCTGTGCCTGCACAGCTCGATGTCCTTGGTCACTCTCCTACCTGCTGCAGCCAGAGCAAGGCCCAGGTCCTGCTGGTCATCATGCCCATATAAATTGCTATCAGATCATGTCCTCTGCGTCCACATTAACTGTCCTGGCTTCTCTCCAGTGTTTCAGAGCACCACCTTCCCTTGTGTCTGTTACAGTTACAAGGTCACTGACTTCTAGGACACAGGCCTTTATTTGGAAAGCCAGTTGGAATCAGCTGAGTTTGTGGCTACCTCTTCCTGTTAAGGTTGCTCATGAAGTGTAATTTTTCTCTTTGATGCACGTTAGTTTGAAACTGATTCTCTCATGCAAAGACTCCTTAACCTTCAGAATAACAAAAAATGCCTTGTTGCTGGAGTGATGAGCAGTTTTGACAAGCAGTAACTCCACAGCTACAATTGCCTACAGTCCTTTCACTCCATCTCAGATCACCATTGCCCCCATCTCTCCTCCATCTCTGCTGCTCTGCTCTCGTGGCTGCTCCCAGGTGCCAAAGGCAATTAGAGTAAATGGTGCTGGGGCGGGGATAGCAGCCTTCTACTTAGCTTGTGAAGTGGCCCACGTGGAGTTCTTTCAGGTATTTCATTGGAACTGTATTTAATTTATAGAAGAGCAACAAAAAATAGTAATTGGTTACATATTGCTTAGATCTGCCCTATTTAGCATGGTGGCCGAAAGAATTTTTAGGGAACTTTAGTAACTTTTTGTTAGCATTTTTACATCATTTTAAGGTCATTTCAACCCAAACATTTCCTGATTTCATGAAATCAGTAGCAACTTAATTTAAATAACAGAGTTGTACTCTGTACTAAATGTTAATACTTAAAGAGCTAGTTTGACACTTTTCTCACTATGTGCCTTTAGCAGTTACTGAGATCACTGATTTATTGTTTCTCTGAAATAAGTTGCTGTCAGCAGAATTTCAATGCTTAGTCTAATATGGCAGACTTTTGATTCTTAACAGGCTTTTTAAAGATCATTTAAGAATCAGGGCTGGGGAGATAGCTCGGAGGCATAAGCATCTGCCTGGCAAGCGCAAGATCAGGAGTTTGATCCCTGAAACTAACTAGGTGTGGTGGTGCACGCCCGTAATCCCAGCACTAGGGAGGCTGAGACAAGAGGATCACTAGGAGTCCAAAGTGTGTAGCAAGACCCTGTACCCCCTAAAAAAAAAACAAAAAACAAAAAACAAAAAAAACTTTAAGAATCAAATATAGATCAATTTGTCTTAAGTATTATATAGGACCTGCTTACCTATAATAGTGTGAATTAGTTGTCACTGAAGCTGACAAGCATATACCTGCATGGGTTCTCCTGTGCCATGGGCTAGGCAATTAGAGTGGTGGCACCTGTCACATATCTGGGACGCAGATAAAACTCAAAGGGACACTCTTCCCCCACTGCCCACTTCCATGGAGCATGTCTTCAAGTGGAGCTGCTTTCTTTGACTTTTTACAATATCAATTGTAAGACTTTTGTTTGGAAAAAAAAAAAAGCTTAAAAAAATTAGGAAAAATTTCTACCATTAATTCATCAAATATTTACTGAGAACATTAATAAATACTTAAGTACCAAATAAATTAGTATACATTTCCTTTGCATAAATTACATTTTCAAACACTTGGCCGAATTCTAAGGTAGCAAGAGCATCCTAAATTGAAGCACTTGTGTAATGGCTACATGACTAAATAGCTACTAACAAGGGACAGCATGGAACAGGACCCTTTTGTCCCTCCTCGCAGGGTATCTGCCATCAGTTTCTAAAATTTGCAGCATCAGCCAAATAACCATAATTTTAACTTCTGTGTACATTGGTGCCATAATTAGATGATTTAGGAAGCATATAAAATTAATGCCACTGGAAAACACTTGATGGGGTTTTTCTTTTTTTAAAAAAAGGCATTGGATACTAAAGATGGTTTATCCTAAAAAAAAATTCTAGCTCTAATAAGGAGAAACAGATGAAATTAAGTCATTTATTAAAGGAACATAATGGAATAATCCAGATTTATATATAATACTTTGCCATCAACTGTTTAGATGAAGGGACTGCCTCTCAAAGCAGTTCACAACATATTTGGGATAAATTTACCATTATCGAATAAATACTGATACAAATATTTTTTTTCCATTTTGTGCAAATCTGTAAACTACATACCTTTGTTTATAGAAAAATACTTGTACCAGTTATAATATTGATCTGTGGATAAATATTTGTGGAAATAAATACTTTTGAATAAAGTGTGCCAAATCCAAAAATTTAGAACAGGAGCTACACATTGACTACAAAGTGTTTTTATTTTAATACATGTTTGCAGTACAATAATGATTAGATTCATCATGGAGATGCTTTGAGAGACTTCATTCTGAGGTCTGTATTCAAACATGCATCATGATTGTTTAAAGTAGGACAACAGGCAGGAGCTGGCTTGACCCTGGAGCTAGGCCTGGGTGGTATTAGACACTGGCCCAGCGCTCTCAGCACATGATGGCCTGAGGGACTGGGGCAGAACTTTCATTGTAAGATTTATTGAGCAGCTACTTTGAAGCTATAGAATTCAAAGCAGTTTGAGGAGAGGAAAAGACTAGCAAATCAGTGCAACAGAACATACCTTTAAAAGGGACGGCCAAATAGCTCAGCAGATTAAAGCGCCTGCAAGCAGGTGCAGGGGCCTGGGGTTCACTCCTTGAGTTTGCCATGCCCACCCTGCCCCCAGGGTGCACTGAGATGGCCTCTGAGATGGCATGGTGGCGCATGCCTATAATCCCAGCTTTTGGGAAGCTGTAAATAGGTGGATCACTATGAGTCTGATCTAGTAGTGAGACCTTGAATACCCTATAGACCCTTCCCTAAAATACAAAAAAGAAAAAGAAAAAGAAAAAGAACATATATCCAAGAAGCAGATATATAACATGGCACCTAGTAAAGATGGCACTAAAAATCAGTGGAGAAACGCTCACAAGAGCTGTGTGCAGGAACTTAAAACTGACAATCATTACAAAATGCACAAATCATGTATACAGATACAAGAGTCTATACCTTCAACAGGATGTCACTTGTTCCCTGTAGATGAAAATCAAGATCTTAGTGCCACTTTCTATGGAAATTAACAAGTTCATTTCAAATGCGCATGTAAAAAGCTCAGAGGAGGACCCTTGTTGAGAACAAGGGAGCATTTTCCCTAGCAAGTATTGAGGCATCATGAAAGTCTGGTAACTACAAGCTCTGATCAAAATATATAGGGAATGTTCAAAGTTTGAAAATTGTTACAGTAAAAGACATTGCCTCAAAATTTGCCCTCACACTTCAGTTACATCCATTATCCTTGCCACTTTCTAAAGCAGTTCTAGAAGCCCTCTTTCATGTCTTTATGATGTGTGATCAAAAATACAGTGACTGCTGTTACCAAGTGCCATTCTACAGAAAGATGGCCTCAAAAAATGGTGTTCCTTGGGGGCCTGCCCCTTA